TCCTGCTGCTGCTACTACTACGACGACGACGACGACGACGACTACTACTACTACTACTACTGCTACCACGACGACGACGACGACGGCTGCTGCTACTGCTACTGCTACTGCTACTGCTACTGCTACTACTACTACTACTACTACTACTACTACTATTGTTCTTGCGGGTATTCCTTCTTCTCAATGTCCCGTTTGGATTGCTAGCGAAGGACATCATGTTGTACATGCCAAGAAAGCATTTCATCAGCCGTTCGTGGTGTCATGCTCTGCTATTGTCATTGCGTTCGTTGCTGCTTCGGGTTGCTTGACACGGATAACCTAGTCGGTGTTGTGCATAGCATACCTATGACGATGTTGATATTGCTTCGTCACCGAGCTTGTTCTTCAATGTTAGAATGAGCATGGCTTTTGTCTTTTTTCTACTGTCTTCATCGTTGCTGAGATTCCGTTTCGTGGTGCATGACAATGCTCTTTGCTTGTCGCCACTCGCTTATGGGTTTCAGGTTTAGGGATTAATGTAGGAACCTGATCAAGAAACCCTTTCCCTATAACCCCCAAAATATATAAGGGTTCATATTGAGAACCCTACTAAAGGCCCAGGGCTTCTTAATCAGGTTCCTTTATGCCCCATTCCGCCTTGAAAGGGCCCTGGCCCTCGCTCCGGCCACGGCTTCAGCGGCTGCCCTGCAGAGCTCAGGCTCCACGGGCTGGGTTCAGGGTTTAGGGCCCGGGTTTTGCGTGTAGTAAGGTTTAGGTGTAGTGTCTAGGTGTCTTGGATAGCAAGACGAGGATTTGGAAAGCAACGTTATTGAGAAAAAAGGCTGTCGCACCAGCAGGAGTGTGTTGGATTGCGTAGGGAACATATCTTATCCCACTGCAACTGCACTGCACGGAGCAAGGGTTGCACCTCGTTTATGAGAAGTCCTCACGTCATGGACAGTTTCAACCTCCCTTAAAGTTTCAGATTGTGACCTTATGCAGGTTGTTTATGTTTGTTCAACGAGTGTGTCTGGTGCTCTCGCGAACTGCTGCTCAAGGCAGCCGAGAAATCTGATGGGCTGGGTCCACAGCTCTCATTGCGACAGTGGCTTGTGCTTATCAGGGCTCACATTGCCCGCCGCTTCTGGCAGCTCTGGGCACCTCCTTTTCCGTGTTTCAAACGACCCATGCAGAGAGGACTCTCCTGAAGCATGAGAAGTGCTTCCCTGACCACGGTTGTCAGAATTTCTCGAGGATATTACTACGGTTTGGTTGCGTGCGTGTGCGGGGGTGGTCGCCAGGAAGCAGAATCATCATTGTGGCTTCGGCTCTGACCAGCATGGAGCCAGAAAGCACCAGGATTATACAGACTCGTATTTGGATTATGAACCACAAAGTGCAGCCAACATGCATAATTACGAGTATCCAGAAAGCAGTTTGGTGGAGTTAAGTTCTGTTTAGACATGCTCAGGCACGCTCTGTGCTGAAATTGCTTGACACACGTGTCAGTGAATGATGATGGGCGTCTTCGTCCCAAGGTCTTGGGAGCCCAAGGACAAGATTTATTCCAACGCGATTCGGTCCCTGTGATGGCCCCAGCATGCCCAGTGGAGCAAACACATGCAGGGACCTGGACCTGACAGGCCGGGAAGTGCAACGGCATATCGAAAAGTGTTACCTTTGGGCAAGGCAGGAAAGCAGATTCGTTTGATGCAGAGTTGTCCAAACACACACCCACAAACGCATGCGCACGCATGTGCACGCACGCTGCACGCACCCACACACCCACACCCACACCCA